GCACCTGCTTCAAGAACACAGAAAAAACAGAGAAACGATTGTTTGAGAGCCGATGGCAGAAAAGGTTGAGGTTTTGTCTCAAACTCTGGCTATGTCATCGCTCGTCAAACTTACTACATCACGAAGTGTGCTGCGCAATAAAATTGATCTTTTTCCTCCAGAATTACTACAAAAAGAAAAAAAAGGAAAGGCAGGTTTGAGGTTTTTGGAAGACGGTACCCAGAAGTTTCTTTCTGTGGTCACTGTTTCACTTCAGTCGGTTTCGACAACTCGACGACTTGTTTTCCTGCAGAAAGGATGGAAGAAGGTCGTTAAGAAACTTCGCTTGAGAAAAGGCGATGAATTGAGTATTTTTCTCTTGGATAGAAATAGCAGGCCATGGACCTACTCAATTCACGTTGAAAAGGGTGCAACCACGGAGCGCGAGGCGGAGGCCGACGTCGGAGGTCATGACGCAGAAATGGTTGAGGCTTCTGTTGCTGGTGCCGCCGAGGGCGCAATAGGGGATTCATCAGGCCTACAACTTCTTGCTGATTGCACAGTTACCATGGTGGAGGAGACTTTCAATGAGCGGGCCCCGCCGAGCAAAGAATCGGACTTAACAGCGCGGCCTTCATTCGATCTGAACCTACCGCCCATGGACTCGGAGTTTTGATGAAGTGGATTGGTATGCTTCATGTTTCTTTGCAAGGTTTTGAAAGCCGGACCGGACCGGCCGGTCGGACCGGTTGAACCGGTATCCGGTGGTTTAAACGGTTCGGTTATATTTTTTAAACCATTTAAATGGTTAAATCGTTTAAAACCACTCGAACCGATGAACCATTTGAAACCGCTCAAGCCGTTCAACTGAACGGTTCAATGCTTAAACATAAAATCTTGAAAAATTTGTGTTCGCCGAGATTTGAACTTGCAACCTTAGAGCCTTTAGGCTAATCCTTCGTCACCAGGACAATGCAAGCCTATAGTCAATAGGTGCTTGGGCTTTTATTTAAGCCATATAAATCCCAAAGATTTTAAATTAGTTTTTCCGCTTGTACACTATGTTCTTTTGTTAATGCTCTACAATATACTTATTTTACTTTTAAAATACAATCATATTAAAATTTGTTATCGGGGGACTTGAACTCCAAATCTCTCTTATAGAAGATCAGTCATCTACTAGTGCAACCCACCAACACCGTATGATATTTTTTGCAAAATCATATATTTATAGTATTTGATTAACCAGTGGTTTTATCGGTTAAATTAATTGAACCATTCAAACCATAAACCGAAGATCAAAACGGTTTGACCTCCGGTTCAAGTTTGAAAACATTGTTTCTTTGTAATAATTTGTTCTTCATTGTCATTTTTTCAGTTCTCTGTTTGTTTTCGACTTGATTCCAATTTCTTTGCTTGTCACCGTGTTCAGGTTTGGGAATTTGGGTCTACCCATGCCCTGCTGTCGCCGCGTGGCAGAATCGGGTTTCTGGCTCTTATTTAGAAATATTTTCTTTTTTTTAATAAGCCCAGTGTGTTTTTTTTTT